ATATATATAGATATATGGTTATTTAAGAGATCTTAGCTCTTCCAATAAAGCAATTCCAATAAAACAGAAAAAGTCAAGGACATCCTCTGTAACTAGTCCTGTTGGTTTGTATGTCTTAACTTGTCTTTATAGATGCTTAAGTATCTTGAAGCAGTGAGATTTTCTGTCCTTGAAATCTGATCTGTCCAATACATTACTTTATTACATTAAGGTCATCAATATCAAATATGTTTGAAATATATTCCTGAAATCTGACCAGGAAGTTAGTTTTTGCTCTAGTGAGAGACTGAATTACTCTGGAGAGTATACGTGCTGAATTTCACAGCAAGTGTTTATGAAGGAAGCAGATGTTTAGGCAGTTTTATTTCTAGCAGATTTTTTTTTTATATGTGATATTAGCAAACACTTTCTAGTGATATTCTATCAGCATGGAATGTAACTTTCTTTCCATATGTGCACTCTGTATGTGGAATCACGAGGCTTAACTTTACTTTCACAAATTCTAATGTGCACTTTCTATCCTCTCACATGCCAAATGACCAATACCTCTTTTTTTCCTTTCTGGCATTAATTTTTGCTCATTTGACATCCAATTTGCCAAATGAATTATGACAGTAATCCTTTCTTCTGTGCTCTTGCTTCACTTTATTCCACACTATATATTCAAGTTTTCTGAGGTCATTCTTCTCCCCCAGTGCCCCTTGTTTTGGTAATGAAAGACAGGATTTTTTTATACTGATTAAAATAATTCTGAATGGTTTAACATTCATTTTAGCTCAGATAATCTGAATTGCAAAATTTAAATGTATCTTGTAGCCACTTACGCAGAATGTAAGGACTTTTTATTTGTTGATGACATAGAAAAACTCTGTATGAACTCACATTTGGAAGGGAAAAAACTACTAACAAGACCTGTCACTGGAACAGGGGTTAAAAGACTAAGAAGCAGTACTTATAAGACGTCATGGAAAGAAGGGTTCAAAATTACCTTCTCAAAGGGAGAAAAAATCGTGGAAAGATATTATAGTTGTTTCTTTCCAAAACCAAACATTTAGAAAATGTCTACTTCAATAGCAAAGATAATTAGAACGGCAAATTAGACATCTGTAAATGTGAAGAAGGCAGAAAACATAATGCATTTTAAAGATTAAACCCTTTTTTTTCTGTACAGACAATATTTCTCTTGAGGTACATAAATCTTAATTTATCCACAGAATAGTAAGGCAGAGGGAGATGTGCTTAGTGCTTGCCTGTTGGTGCAGTTAATGCAGAAATACCTTACTCAGTGCGTGCATGCACAGCAGCAGAATGGAGGGGAGAGCCCTGTGCTGTCAAAGGTTCCTCTTACCAAGGGCTGCAAGCCCACCTGTGCACCCTGGCCAGCTTCTAGCCATGACCGTGTTAGTGCCAAATCAGAGCTTGAGTGCTGCTTGCTGGTCATTTATCAGGTTGCATAAGTGGTGAATTTTTTCCTTGCGTAAAGAAGCTTACTTTGTACTGGATCTCAGTGTTACCCTGTTGGTTCTGACTCTTCTTCTCAGCCTGTGCTTTTTGCATTTCCCTATGATTATATAAGAAAACTATATACTGGTGTATACTTCTGGTAGAGAAGTTAACGAGATCAGGACAGCTATCTTTGTGCACTGCCTTCACTATGGCAAATTCAGTCACTCCACCCTGCATCCTTGCCTGAGAAAGCCTCGTTCCCTCTCTCAGCACCTTTCCTTTGCTTTCCTCTCCAAAGCACTGAGTAACAGAGGTGTTGTGGGATTTCACACACAGGCTGCCTCAGGCAGTCTGACTTTATCTGCAGGATCTCTGCCTGTGCTCTGAAGCAGCCTATGCAATTTCTGCTGTTTTGGATCTGAAGGACTGCTTAGCAAGCTGCTCTCTGCGGCGTGGCAGTGCTGGCTCTGCAGGCTGGTGTGCAGCTGTGTGCAGCTGTGTGTGCATCCCTCCAGGCTGATCCCTCTGCTGGGCCAGGAGGGAGTGTGGAACGGCAGCGTCCCCACAGCGTGAGGAAAAGGGGCTGGACTGGTCCTGCTGTGCATCCTCACCCCTTCTCTTCACCTCATGGTCCTGCTGTGCATCCTCACCCCCTGGTCCTGCTGTGCATCCCCACCTCTCCCCTTAACCCCCTGGTCCTTCTCTGCATCCTCACCCCTTCCCTTCACTCCCTGGTCCTGCTGTGCATCCTCACCCCTTCTCTTCACCTCATGGTCCTTCTCTGCATCCTCACCACTTCCCTTCACCCCCTCTTTGCCCTGATTTAATCGGACTCACTTTTGGTGATAGAATTTAATGGCATTTCGATCAGTATAAGCCTTCATTTAACAGACTGCAAGATATGCAAACTTTTTATTTAGGGCTGCAATAGATACTCTTGTTTAAAAAATTAACCCTGAACAATCTGAAGCATACAGGGACATAAATCTGTGACATTTGAGCTAGGAATAAGAGAGTCACTGAACTGAGAAGTGATTGCTCTTTTTTCATGGAGCTTTGTATATATTGAAGTGACATATGGCTTGGTTTATACCAGACCTAAAACTCTCTTAAAGTAGTATCTCAGAACATTTTGCTTTCTTCCCATGAATTCTCAACAATAAATGTTCCATTTCAGTACAAATACAAAAATAAAATTTATTTGGTAAAACTTAATTCAGGTGGGCAAGAAAGTAGATAAAAGATGTTATGCCATCAGAAAAATCCAATCACAGGCAATTATGAACTCCATTGACACTGGAGGAAAGAAGATATGTGGATGATAACTTCTGGTGCATCTCAAAAGGAAGTACTCTGGAAATATTTCGATGTTCATTAAAGCACCTGCAAGTGTATTCAGTTTGCAGAAATGGAACTTATGTTCAGATCAGCCCTACTTGGGGAAACCATCTGCAGAGATACTGAAAGTAATTATTTACTGAGAGGGCAGGAGAAATAAAAAAGCCCCTTTAATTTTTCAAATTTCAGATTGGTTTTTTCAAAGAGAGCAGAAAGAGATAGGAATATTTTATGTAGGCTCTTAAATACTCTTAATAATATCCAAAATTGCTATTTAGAGCAGAAGCACATATTAAGTCATGCAGGATCAAGTGAGGGTCAGCTCTTAAAATCCATATTTGCAATTAACTTTCAGTAATGCCTCAATTCTTACTATTCTGTTAAATTCCATCAATTTAATCAGAGGTTGAATGACATGTTAGCAACAAATGGACAAATTCTGCCAGCAAAATGATACAGCACACACAGTTCTTCCCATCAGTAATGTGCAGTCATGTCTGTTCACCAGCTACCTGCCTGGGCTACAAGAATTGTGTTGGGTAAAGATAAATTCAGTTGTTGGTATGAAGCAAAAAACTTGGCTGCTTTTGTTTCTGTTGATACTGAATTTCAGTTTTTAGTATTGTAATTATATTTGAAGGCTTTCAGAAAATTTTTCAATCACCAGCTGATCTAAGAAAACAAGACTACTCAGAAGCTGAGCTAGAAGTAATGCATTTTGGGGCTAGAAATCAGCAGCAGAACTTCACTGAATATGACATGTATATGAGACCCCATGTGTATTGCACATATCACTACAGCCAGATGTAGGTTATCTTTACATCAGTCATTATAAAGGCCTCTGAGCAAGTGAAATATTTAGGACATTTATTTTCATTTAATTATTATCTGAGATTGTTAGGTTGATTAAGAAAAAAAATAACTGCTTTGCAAAGAGACAGTGGGATCTAATCTTGTGCAGCTGGAGGAAAGATGTCCCTAGGTCTGGTTTTGCTCCCTGTTGGTTCCATGTGTGGCCTTATCTGTTGGTTTCTGAAGGTCTGTAGAGAAAAGTTCATCCATGGAGAATTCTTTGGGACCCACCCAATGAAAAGGTTCAGTACAACGTCAAACATCCCATTATTTTGATGTCAACCCTTACAGTCGGCTTTCCCAAATTCCTGTGAGCTCTCTGGCTCACCAAGGAGAACTCCCTCTCACCAGGCAGCCTGTCTTTGTAAAGTGATGGAAGTGTGGGAGGCTCCAAGCAAACACTGATG